TTGAAAATGATATTTAGAAGTCTTCGATATTATTGCCTTCATACCATTACTTGAATGTGATATTTAATTTATGTCTACATAGTTTCATTTATGCTAAAGTTGTCTATATACTTTTTTTAATTTATCTTGATGTTTCTTTTATTTCTTTTCACTTTCTCCATTACATTCATTTTCTATTTATATTTATTTCTTTTCCCTTTCCAGTTTTTTCTTTTCCTTTCTGTTTTTACTTTTCCTTTCTTTGATTGTCTTTTCCGTTTCATTCCCTTTCAATATTTACATATGTTTATATATCATTTGAAAATGATAATTAGCCATCTCATAGACATGAGGTCTATTCGATATTAATGTCTTCACACCATTAATTTGAATATTTGATTTATGTTTACATAATTTCATTTATGCTAAAACTAGCTTTAATATAAACGTTTAATATCTGCATCTATCTCTCTCCCTCTGCACTTGCTCCCATACCATACAAAGCAGTTATTTACTTATTTTTTTATTTTCATTACTTTTGATTGATTACCAATTTGTTATTCCTTAACTGTTTTCTATTAATTTTTTTAATTTCCATTTCTTTCATGTACCTTTCTTTATTGGCAATCATTCTGAAATTCAACGTGGCAGTTGTCGGTCTTCTTTCTAAATGGTGTTACTTTACTGCCATAGGCTGGTCTCACTATGATTATGAGATGTTTGATAATTGCATGATATCCCTAATTATAGATATACACAATCTTGATTCACAGTGCTGGTACATTACATATGTAAATATGAGAAAAAAATATTTTGGCTGCCATCTTGATATCCAATATGGCAGCCATCTTGAAATTCAATATGGCGCCTTTAATTCTGACATAATTTCTGATATCTGATACTCCCGGATATCGAAAACACGAGTAGAGATCTTTGACAGTGCTAGGTGTTATAGATATGACGATATTTACAACATTATCAATAATTTTGAAATTCAATGGTGGCATTCTGACATAATTTCTGATGGCTGCATGATAGTCCTTGATATCGAAAACAGTGCTAGGTGCTGTAGATTTGATATTGACAAAAATAGCAATAATTTGGCGGCCATCTTGAAATCAAATATGGCGGCGCCATCTGACATAATTTCTGGTGATTGCATGACACTCCCTGATATTGAAAACATGGGTAATGATCTTCAGTTGGAGTGATATGTGCTGTAAATATGAATACATAGGCTAAAATTAATTATTTTGGCGGCCATATTGGATTTCAAGATGGTGGCCATTAGATGGGGTTATTTTTTGGGGTCTATTTTTTTAATGATCTTTAGGTGTCATAGTATCGTTGTGGGAAGTTTCATGCTTTCTTCCAGAAGTGCACGATTCTGCCTGAAATTCAACCTTAGCCGCTCTACTATAATAAAAATGGCCTAGATATATTCTTTGGGGCGCGGGACGCAAATCAAAATGGTCGTACACTGCAAAATGAGGAACAGTATCGTGAAAGCAATAGGTAGGCCTATTATTTGCATGTACCGTATATTACTAGGCCCTATATGTAGGCATATATTCATTGTGAAGATTTCATGATTTTACGTAGCTGTATAAAATATACAATGAAAATACATAGACCTACCTTTCAATACTGTTTGCAATAGCAGACTACAAAATGGCAATTAATTAAACAAGACACACATCAACTGCAGTCTATATAGCAAATTCCCTTTGAATATTATTCTATACAAATAATATGCATGATTGGAAGTGTATAAGACACAACAATGGAGAAAACCAATTCAGGATAGGGATAGAACGGAAGAGCTATTTCAAAATATAACCATAGTACATTAGTGTTTTCTTCATTGTAGTACGGTAACAGTCGAGAAAATATTTACTATAAATTTAATTCTTATTATGAAGCCAATCTTTTACTGTGGGTAGCGAGCTAAAATCTGAGCCAACAAAAAATACTAGTAGTTTGCCTCATTGTTGACGTTGCTGTTGCTGTTGTTAGTAATAATAACATAAAGTGGCGTAACGCCTATGCGCTGGCGTGCGACGGTCCGCCGGGTCCCGACCCCTGGGGCCCCAAGGGGGAACCCGCACATAGGGTCTCCGATCTAGCATCCTAAACAAAAATAACTTTGTTAATACATAACACGTTCCAGGCGAATTTTTACTATTTCATTGGTCTGGATGCAAGGGCGGATTTGGAGGGGGGGAGGGGCAAGTCCGGCTTCGGTCCCCCTTTTTGGGAGATAAAAAAGGAAAAAAAAAGAAAGAAAAAGAAAAAAATGATAGACCAGAACGCCTCAAATGTTATTTTCGGACGTCTAGAACACAACAATTTTGAGGGGCATGCACACATTTGCAAGACTTTCTTCCGGGGTAAACAATTATTAAATATGTTTATGTATTCATTAAGAAAATATAGTAACTAAATTTTATACAATGGAGCATGAACCTTATGTTCAACTTAACTTCATAGCTTAATTTCTAGCATAAACAATTAGTACAAAGTATGTAAAAGCTAATTTACATTGAAAAAATCACAAGTC